CCTAACACTCACTCATTATTTCCTACTCAGAGTCTATGATCCATAAGTGATGCTGTGGAATCTTCTTTTATTATCTTTTCTCTTCCTGTCCTTCCTGACCTACTTTTTCTTTCCTTCCTTGTTTTGCCCCACATTTCTTCTTGTTGTTTCTGTTTTAGTGCTAAGTATGGAAGCCCTCACATAGAGTTTGAAGAATGTAGGATTAAGTTACATTCCCGGTCCAATTCTGTGATTTCTAGGTTGCTGCTTTCTACAGTTGTATTCGGTTGGTCTGAAGATCTCTGAATTCACAACTACTTTAATTGTCCTAAACAATCAAACAAACAAAAAACCAAATTTCTACAGTGGAACAGAGACTGGAGACTGGACAACTATAGCGAAGCTCTAATTCAGCAGGAGAATGAGAACTGTACACGGGTGCTGAACCGTCACTGGGTGTAAGCTGCTACAGAGCTAAGGTAGGAAATGGTCTTTGACTAGTGCTGATTCTGTCAGCACACGTCCTCGATTCCTGGCTTGAATCCATGCAAGGAGTTCATAAGCACAAGCATATCTTTCTATCTGATTCTTTTCTCCAGAAGATTGGGGAAATGAAATATCAATTCACATCTCAGTTTTTAAAACCCAAAGCTAAGAGGGTTTTTGTTTTGTTTTACTTTTTTAGCAGTATATAATCGACTTCTCTTCTATTTGAATCTAGTCAAGTCTCTGCATCATTGACCAAACCTGTAATTCTTTTTTGAGATAGACTATGCTGCTAATCACAAGTACTATGACTTGAAACAATAAAACTCTCTTCCCTACTTTCAAAACGTGCCCATCATAGGTAAGCAATGGCTCTTCTCCAAATAGCTTTCAATTTCACACCCGAGCTGGTAAAGCAACCACTGTCTAAGCCAAAACTTGATCTTGTCATGAAGGGAAAAGAGAAGAGAGAACACCACACAAAGGGGCCAATAATTCTTCATGACAAGTGCGATTTCCCAGATTTCCTTTTCTACTAAAGGATGTCATCTAATCAAACCGGATGCTAATGAGGCAATTAAATGACTGCTCTTCCTAAGGACAGGCCAGAGGAATTTGGAAATGATATAATCTGCCACACAGAAAATCCCTATTCTGAAATTCACATTGAATTTTTTAATGCCTCTTCTGTCATGGTTTTTCTAAACTGTCACCTCTACTCTCTAACCCTACTTAATATACAGGCCACATCCTCTTTCCCCTAAATTTAATATGCAAAATTTAAATTTTGACAATTTGACATGTTGGTTACAGTTTAGTCAAATTTACATCGTGCAATTCTGCTTCATTAACTTTCCAATATAAACCTGGCTGCCCATATTATTCTTATGTCTGGAACTAGGTCAAAGCAAAAAGCAAAAAAAAAAAAGAGCAAACAACTGCACTTCACTTTCTTTTGAACTATGGTATTTCTGTATATCAACTTACTTTTTATTACCAGTATTTTTCATTCCAAATGAAATATTCAGTAAAAGGTTTCCCCGTCTTGTATTCTCTTTTTCAGCCAGTCTGGCTGTACTCACTACTGTAGTTCCCTTGTTTACACTTGAGTTCTTTCTGTACTGATTTTTAAAACAATCATACTCCTTACCATAGTATATAAAACTTTAGCAAGATTGCTATCTCTAAGTGACCTCATTTTTCTCTACTTTGTTATGTATGGACCAGCTACTTTTGCATACTTTCTTCTGTTGCTGTTTTTTCCTTTTCTTTCTTTCTTTCTTTCTTTCTTTCTTTCTTTCTTTCTTTCTTTTTTCTTTCTTTTTTTTCTTTTTTTTTTTTTGAGACAAGGTTTCTCTATATAATAGCCCTAGCTGTCCTGGAACTAGCTCTTGTAGACCAGGCTGGCGTTGAACTCACAGAGATCTGCTTGCTTCTGTCTCTCAAGTGCTGGGATTAAAGGAATGCACCACCACCACTTGGTTCTATTGCTCTTTTTTTTTTTTTTATAGTCTCTGGGCAGTTTCATTTAACTATACTGTTCTTTCTAGATCTTTAACTGGTTGCCTCTTCTTTTCTTTTCTTTTCTTTTTTTTTTTTTTTTTTTTTTTT